AATAGCTGGGTCAAATGGTGGTTCCATTCCCAGCTTTACCAGGAATCTCCATACTGCTTTCCAAATTGGCCGCACCAATTTGCAGTCCCACCAGCAATGTACAAGTGTATCCTTTTCTCCACATCCTTGCCAGCACTTGTTGTTTTTTGACTTCATAGTGGCTGCCAATCTTACTGGAGTGAGATGGTATCTTAGGGTGGTTTTGATTTGCATTTCTCTGACTTTGAACAATACATGTTGTTGATAGAAAGAAACACTATTCAAAACAAATTCAGAAGAAGTATCTATATACACACATATATAAGAGAGGGGGGAAAAGCACACTGTACACATACACACAGAATCTTCCATAGAAGATTGCTTCAATTCTCTCATGTGGAAGAGTGTAATATTTGGAAAACTATGAAATTAATACTGAGCTAAGACTCAATACCTGTCACATAATAAACATTCAAAAATATGTGTTTTTTTAGTTCTATCCCCTACTTAAATCTTTATCTGTAAGTTATCTGTAGTAAGTATGTTGAAGTTAAGAGGATGAATGAATAAACTAAACCAAAAGTTTAAAAAATTTAAAAATTATAAATTAAAAGGTAATAGCTGAAATATAACAGCTCATCAAAAATGTTATGATAGCTAAAGATTGGATTATGACTGTTATGTCAATGAAGTATCCTCTTTCATTTGGAATAACTTGTTATTAAGAATCTAAGAGTGAAGGGTCTCTTAAAATAGTGACCATCTCATGTGCATTCAAAATGTCCGTATGAACCCTTCTCCAAGTCTCTGCAGCATGTCAGATTAGTAGCTGACTCAGACTCCTCAAAAGAGAAGGTCATTAGCCCTACCATGTTGCCCTACCTCTGTGGATGATATTGCATATGAAGCCATATTCCCTGTAGCCATAATTTCAATTGAGCAGCAATGCCCATTTATCTAAAATGCTCAGGATGGGAGATGTTTGCCACTCTTTTGGCAAAGTGAATTTATTACAGAGGTGACATCAGAAGAGTTGCCTGGATTGGACCACAGTGTGCTTTTCTTCTTGTGTGTGATCAGCCACCTTCCTCCTCCTTGGCTACCCAAAGAGAGAGTCCTGTTCTCTCACTTCCTTGGTGCTTCCTTCAAGGTACCAAAGGAAAGTGGTCTGCCTGTCATGAGGGTCCAAGCCTGGTCTAGCTCCTGGAAACTGTGTCTGAGAAGGCTGTGATGATTTCCAATGTCCACTTACTTTTCCACTCAGGCACTCTGCATCCTCCTTGAGTCTTGTTTAAAGGAAACTTTGATCACAACTGTTCCTGAATCAGGGGATTACAAATAATGACACCATTAATAGAGTTCAGCATGGTCTATCCATGGACTACCAATATTCAAAGAATTAGAACATAATAAAATATGTGATTATCAAATTATACCAAAAAGATGATCTTTATTCGCTTTTTCAAAAGATAATCTAAATCTTTCATTACTTCAGGGTTATCAGTAATGACATTATCTCTCTCTCTCTCTCTCTCTCTCTCTCTCTCTCTCTCTCTCACACACACACACACACACACACACACACACACACACTCACTTACCTGGATAATAGAGTCTGAAGTTTCACAGTTATAATGTCCAATAAAGTAATCTCTAGCTACAGTTGACTACTGAGCACATAAAATATTTGCAATGAGGAGTGCAGTAAGTTTCACACTAGATTTCAAAAAGAAACTAAAAAGAAAGCATCTTACTAAATTTTAAGGTATTGATTACATATTAAATATTTAAAAATCAATATTGATTACATAATATTTTGGATTTTTTTAGGCCAAATAAAGTATTTTCCCTGTTTTTCCCTTTATAATGTTGCTATTCTAAAATTTGAAAATATCACACTGGGCTGGGGATGTGGCTCAAGTGGTAGCTCGCTTGCCTGGCATGTGTGTGGCCTGGGTTTGATCCTTAGCACCACATACAAACAAAGATGTGTCCACCAAAAAACTGAAAAATAAATATTAGAAATTCTCTCTCTCTCTCTCTCTCTCTCTCTCTTTAAAAAATAAATAAAAAATAAAAATATCACACAGATTTGCATTACTTTTCTATTAGATAGCCCTACTTGAGAGAAACATAATTTCCCTGTGAAATAATACTGCCTTTTTTTTTTTTTTTTTTGGTACTGGGGATTGATCTCAGGGGCACTCCACCACTGA